CCACTGAGATAAATCAACGGCCACAGCTTTAAAGATGAGTAATGGAGAAGCCAAAGAAGTCACTATCTTGCCATGATACAAGAGAAATCGCCCTACATCCGTCACCCCCTCCAAGGCTCAGGGACCTTAGCAGAAGATTGGCGGAAAGATTGTAAGAGCGGAGGACAGGGGTCCTGTTTCCTCTGAGGGGCAGGGCCTGCTGCAGAGAATTGACTGTGGAGATTTAACTGCGGATGGAGGGGATTTTCTGTGCCATCTTGGACAGGAGCCAGGAAGGTGTCTTAAACACCCAAAAGGAAAGTATAACCAAAGATTAAAGGGATCAATATAATTATTTAAGAGTCCATGTGTATCACTAAAGGCTACATAACAAGAAACAATGCCAGACAGGAGATATCTTTCCTTGGAATATAAGTTTTTAAAGTATTTCCTAATGGTTTTCTGGATTTCACTGAGGTCTATGCTAACAATTTTCTTTTCATCTCTCATTTTGTTATTTTGGGTCTTTTCTTTAGTTTGGCTAGACATTTGTCAATCTCATTTATCTTTCTAAAGAACCAACTCTGATCCTATGAATTGTTATTTTAGTCTCTATTTCACCATTCTTGCCTTAATCTTTATTCTTTCTCGTCATCTACTGTGTTTGTTTGGCTTTTTGTTTTTCTGGGACACTGAGACATATCATTAGCACACTTGAGATTGCTCTTATCCTTGTATCAGGCTCGGTCACATCAATGTGACAGAATGTCCGTTTTCAAAAAAGCTAGATGACGGAGGTAAATAAATGAACAATAATTATAAAATAAGAAGGTGCTCTGCAGAGATGGGCATAGGCTAGCTGTCACCACATGACGCACGTCTAACTTCAGAAAGGGTTAGGGGACAGAAAGGGAGAGTCAGGTCAGTAACCATTCATGCTCCCAGTCACCACAGTGACTCTTTCTACTGGAAGTAAACCTGAACAAAGTTACCCAGTTTCCAGAAGGAAAGAAAAGATACTCACCTTTATTCAGGTTAGAGAAGCCAAGCACAAAAAACAAACCAGAAAACAAAGAAATCAAAGTGACTATCCCCTCTTCCTTATTCAAAAATAAACTTATTTCCCTTTCTAGGTTCAAACAGAAATGTCCTTTAACTCACAGTTTCATTTTCACTGTTTTTTTTTTTCTTCAAGACAATTTAGAACCTGACCACCAGCTACTTGCTGAAAATATGGTTTTAAAAGGTTCTCTGGGAGCTAGAAAGAGTGTTCAGAAGTTAAGAGCATTCATTTCTCTTGCAGAGGACAGAGTGCACGTCCCAGAACCCACATCAAGCAGCTCATAATAGCTTGTAACTACAGCTCCAGGGGATCTAACGCCCTTTTCTGGACTCTGCAGACAACACCCCTGCCATGTGTGCATACCCACATACAGACACACACATATACACATAATTAAAAATAAGGCTTAAAAAATAGTTCTCTGAGCTGGACATGGTGGCACATGCCTTTGATCCTAGCACTTGGGAGGGAAAGGCAGGAGCCCTATCTCAAACAAACAACCCTTCTCCCCCCCCGCAAAAAAATAAAAAAATAAAAAAATAAAAAAGTTTTCTGGATTAAGTGAGAATTGAAACCTTTTGCTTTCTGTTTTCAGTTTGGTGCTAGGGATGGAAATTGAGGCCCTGCACATGCTGGGCAAGTGTCTGCCCCGAGCAGCACCTTCCCTCCAGGTATCTCTTTTAGAGAGTGAACTTTCTCCATATATTTGACTAACATTTTCATTGCAGTATCGTTTTTAGTTCTGATTCTTAAGGTTAAGGTTAAAGGTGACAGTGTTGATTGACTGTTCAGCATTAGATTAAGTCTAAAGTACCAACAACTAAGGAAGTTTTGTTTCTCCCCAATTTCTGAAGCAGATGGGGGAAAAATTTAGGCCTTCTCATACAGATGCCACTAGAGTCCTGTCAACAATTCTGATCCTTTCTCTGCTGCTGCTTTTGTTTCTCTTCTTTTTCATCAGTGACTATGTCTTGACTCCTAGTCTATACTCCTAAGATTGTAAAGACTCCCTTAACACTGTTAAATGAAAGGTTCGCATCTCCCTTGCCAGGCCCTTGCTTTGCGTTTTGTGCTATCTCCCTCACTATGTCATGCAGAGGGAGCGAGCAGCAGTGTGAGAATGAAGACCTGAAATCTCATCTTCTCAAGAGCACTGGGCTAAGAGCACCGCACAGCTGCCTGGCTTCTTCGCAGATTGGAAGGAGAACATCATAAAATTAACCAAGACAGCTGGGCGTGGTGGCACACGCAGGCGGATCTCTGTGAGTTCAAAGCCAGCCTGGTCCACATAGTGAGTTCCAGGACAGTGTGGGCTACAGGGAGACCCTGCCTCAAAAAGATCAAATAATAAATAAATAAATAAATAAATAAATGGATAAATAAATAAATAAATAAATAAATAAAATAAAAATAAAAATAAAAATAAAAATCATCCTTAACTCCAGCTCCAGGGGAATCCGAAGCCCTCTTCTGACCTCCGTGGCACTGCACAACACAGGTGTACTCACATACATGCAGGTAATACACTCATACACATAAAATAATAATAAATGAAATATTAAAAAAAAATCATCAAGACTAGCTGCCAGCTCTCTGTGGCCACCTCTCAATCGAGGTTTCCAGAAAACAGAACAAAGGACGATACTGCAAGTTAGAATAAAAGCAAACCATCCAAACTTTGATATTTCTTTTTTTGTGTGTGTGGTCTTTTTGAGACAGGGTCTCCCTGTAGCCCCAGCTGTCCTGGAACTCACTATGTAGATCAGGCTGGCCTTGAACTCACAGAGATCCACCTGCCCTGCCTCACAAGTGCACCACCATGCCCGATATTTCTTTTTTTTACGTCTCTATTGCTTTATTATTGATAAATACATACTTAAAATTACTAGTAACTACCTGACAATGGAAAATTTCAACCATGCATTATTAGAATATTAGCATTTTAGAACCTGCTATGGGCCTGCCACTATTGCTTACACTTTCAACCAGGCCTGGCTTTTGAGAAACATGCCAACCCCTGGACTCAGAAGAACTGTGGAAAAAAACAACGATACCTGCAAATTTTCAACAGAAAATTGAGTTAAATTCCTTAGACATGAAGTTGAGCACTCAACATCTACTACAACGCTGCTTCAAAACAGGGAAACAAAATGGCTAAAATTAGGACCTCTATTTAGCTTTCAAAAGTTTATCTGAAAATCCTAGTCCTTTAGGTAAATAATGATTTAAAAGCCTTGGGAAAAAAGAACTGAGATGACAGTCTCTATGGAGTGTTCTTGGCCACATATTGAGAGCTGTATCATCTAAGAGCATACGTGGTGTAGGCGTGTGGTGAAGACACTTAGGCAGAATGGTCTCTTTTCTGGTTCACATTAATGAACAGCTCCCTATGGGAAAAGGAGTTAAGGAACAGAGCTAATACAAGGTAAACTCAAGCAGTGATGCCCTGAAATTTAGCATAGCCCTCTGCATTTTAAAACTGTTGGCCAAGGGATTCTCCCCAAATGGTATAAAAGCCGAGCAATGTTCTGAATAAACTAGAAACAGTTTGCCTGCACCAGCAGCACCATGAGAATGTAAACTCCTGAAGGTTAAGGGTCTCTTCGTATTTTGCATATCACAGGTACATAAAGAGTAAACATAAGAGGACAGTAAGTATGAATACTAATTAATCACATACTTCGAGACCACAAAATCTTGTAGCATATTTTAGCATTTAAAACCATCAATGTGGCTGTTAAGGGTAATCTCTGAAGTAACTGGCTGGAATTAACCACATCCCCATCTTCATGCGCTTAGACCCACACATCTAAGAGCACTTAGGAACACAAATTAGACTCAATAGGTCTTTTAAAAATATCATGCAGTTGAGAGGATTGTAGGATGGGATGGAGATGGAGGAGGGGGTCTGAATATGATCAAATCCACTGCATGAAATTCTCAATCATTAAAATATATTTTTAAATTTATGAATACAAGTTGTCTATGTTAGTTTTAGTTAACCACTGTGGGACCCTGACTCATCTAACCGCTTCTTTCTGCTTTGTAATTTGCTTCACTTAAGGCAGTATACTAACTCCATTTTGACTAGCTATAGATCAAGCAAGCCTGGGCATATAGCAGCTTTATAAGGTAAAAACAGAAATTTCTGGCCCCACAGATAACAGTCAGTGCATTCCAATGTCCTAAAGGCAGCCCCTACCAATAAGAATCCTCCCCGTACTCAGGGCATAGGACCATCCAATCATTTTAAAGGATGCTTGGCACACATGGGCTTCTGTGAAACTTCCCTATAAAAGCCTACCCCACCCTAGATCAGGGCTCTCAGTACGGATCAGCTGTGTTGGTGAAATCTGAGGGCCGGAGCTTAAGCCCTAATAAAGGCTCTTTGCTGTTGCACGCACTCTGGACTCCTTGGTGGTCACTGGGGGTCGTAATACCTGGGCGTAACACCACATCCCAAGAGAATTATTACTATTGTTTTCTTTTGTTTGGTTTTACTTTTCTGCATGTGTAATAGGGTCAAAATTGGAATTCTCTTAGCCAAAACTCTTAACACATTTAAGGCAGTTGTTTCTACGCTAAACAGCAGTGTCCTTTAGAGTGTTTACAAGAAATCTTCAAGTCTGAGCTTTCAGGATTTCAGCCTATTTCAATTATGAGTTAGGAAAAACCTGTTGGTATTTTCCAAAAGGACACTGAATGGCCAAGGATAACAAAATGCTGGCTGATTTTTATACAGTGAGAAAGTGCATTTTCTTACCCGATCAGGCATTTCTCCTGTGGCCCTCGGCCTGCTTCAAATGACCATTTCTGATTGCTGGGCCCCCAGAACAGCAGAGGAAAAGGAAAGAAGGCAGCAGACACCAGCTCATAGGCCATTTATGTACTCTACACACATGTATACTGTGACAACCAACATAAAGGAGTCTTCTGGGTCAGAATAAAGATGGCTTACCTGTTGTTCCTGTGCTCTAGGATCACCAAGTTCTGAGAGTGACATGGTGAGTTTCTCTTGTTGTTCTGACAGGTACTTCTGGTAGAGACTGAGAAGCTCTTGGCATTCTCTATACTGTAGCTGAAGAGGTGAGAATTCAAATTAAGGGAAAACTAAAAACATTGATTTGTATTGCATACATTGATGCTGCTTTTCAGAGTCCAATAAACAAAGCAGAGATAAAAAATACAGGGATATTTGGTCAGAGGAGGTGAGCGTGAAGTCATCAGATGAAAACAGTACATGTCCCAACCCGTCAAACCATCCCCTGCCCAGTCATGAAGCAAATAGTAAGAAAGCAGTGTGGAGCAGCCCATTAAAGAGACATTTTCTCCCAGTTTAAAACACCCGAATAAAAAACAACAACAACAACAAAAAAAAACAAATGGAGAGACATGCAAAGGAACTCTCATCACCTCATACAGAAAACAAAATGGAGCAGGGCATAAAGCACAAGCCTGTAACCCCAGCATTCAGGAGGCTGAGGCATCCTGCTGAGGATCATGAGTTCAAGGCTAGCCTGGGGCTATACAGCCACACTCTGTCCTAAAAGGAAAGGAAAGGAAAAGAGACAGAACAAGGAGGCAGCAATGCAAATGCCAGAGTCCAAGCTCTGAGACTCAGGAGGCCAGACAAGTTCTCTGCGTGACCTTGGATTTACCAAAGGGGAAAATGGATTCAAGAAATAAAACTTTTGTGCTTCATAGGGCACTATCAAGAAACTGAAAAATTGTACATAAGAGCAGCACTAAATGACTCAGAGGATATATACCTATATATCTATATAGTTACAGAAGAACCATGAATTTGATAGGGAGTAGGGGAACATGGGAGGAGTTAGAAGGGTAGAGGAAGGCATGGAAATGATCTAACTACCATACTCTTAAGATGAAAGTCTCAAAAAATAAAAAAATTAAATGAGAGTTGGGTGTGGTGGCACATGCCTTTAATCTCAGCACTTGGGAGGCAGAGGCGGATAAATCTCTATGAGATCAAGGCCAGCCTGGTCTCCATAGGGAGTTCCAGGCCAGCTGAGGCTACAGGGAGACCTTGTAAATGTAAATAAAAAGGAAGTAAAAGAGACAACCCTCAGAATGAGAGAAAATATTTTAAAATCATACATATGAAAATTATTTCTATTCAGAATATATAAAGGTCTCATACAGCTCAAAAACAAGTATTAGTCTAATTAAAAAATAGACAAAGGCACTGAGGCAATTTCTCAAAAGACCCTCCACCAAGGAGGTGCACCAAAAGCACCATGAAACGCGGCTTCATGTCCAGCAGGATGACCACAGTCAGACTCAGGAAGGGAAGTCTATTGAGGACACGGGGAAAGTGGGAATTTTCAGTATATCTAATGGGAATGTAAAACTGTGCTACCACTTCAAAAGATAACTTTAGGACTGTTTCTAAAAGGTAAAGTTAGCATGTAACCCAGTAAGGAGCGTGTGTGTGTGTGTGTGTGTGTGTGTGTGTGTGTGTCTGTCTGTCTGTCTGTCTGTCTGTGTATATGTATCTAAGAAAACTGAAAACATATAACCACACAGACTCATACATGTGTGTTCGGAGCAGCACCGCTCCTAACAGTAAAGAGCTCTGTGCTGCACCACTTCAGCTGTCAGCTACCTTGGAAGACAGAACCTCAACTGGGGAATTGCCTCTGTTGGAGTGGCCTGTGGGGGTGTCTGTGAGGCATTTTCTCCACTGCTGTCTGATGTGGGAGGGCCCAGCCCAATATGGGAAGTGCCACCCCGGGCAGCTGGTAGTTCTATAAGAAAGCAGGCTGAGCACAGGCCAGAGGAGCAAGTCAGGAAGCAGCGTCGTCCGTGGCCTGTGCTCCAGCTCCTGCCCCCAATTCTCCTGCCTGAGCTCCTGCCCTGACTTCCTTCAATGAAGGAAGGTACTGCAAGCTGAAATAAACCCTTTCAACTCCAAGTTGGTTTTGATCAGGCTGTTTCATCACAGCAAAAGAAACCAAACTAGGGTAAGGAGACAACAACATTGATGTCCATCAGTAGATGAATATGGAATATCTAGAGTGGAACATTATTTGACCATTACAATCAGTGAAACATTGCTACATTCTGAAAACTTTGAAAACAGTGTCTTAAATGAAAGAAGACTAAGACCCTATGCTGACTCAATCTGACAAAAACTCAGCACAGAACTGAGGAAACGGGCTGCAGGCCCCAACCTTAGCCAAGGAATTATTGGCCACAAATTACTGAATGAGGGAGAGTTGATCTTGAGAGGAGTGACTCTAGATATGCTGACTGGACTCCAGTAGATGAACTTGCACTGAGGGTGGGATATGGCCGTACGAATGCTTGACTAGATGGACCGTAACATATACAAGAATTGATGAAATGCGAAGGGGGGGCATGGGGTTAGGGATGGGGGAAGGGATCTAAATATGATTAAGACCTATTTATGACATGCACAAAAACTCAGTAAAATATACATTTAAAAAGACTGCACAAAGGCTATATATTATAGGTTTTCACTTGTATGGAAAATCAAGAACAGACAAATCCATGCAGACAGGAAGTAGATTAATGGTTGTCAGAGACTGGTGGAGAGGCCCAGTGAAAAGGGGAACAGGCTTGTGGCACAGGTAATGAGGAGATGATTAAAGTGTTCACACACTTTGGGAAGTATGTTCCAAACCATTCAGCTCTACACTTGAAAAGGCTGCATTTTATTTTCTGTGAACAATATCTCGAGAAACCTGTTATGAAAAAATGAACGTGGGGCTGGAGAGATGACTCGGCAATTAAGAACACTGGCTGCTCTTACAGAGGACCCAGGTTCAATTTTCAGCACCTACAAGGCAGCTAACAAAAGTCCTTAACTCCAATTCCAGGAGATCCAATCCCCTCTTCTGACCTCCATAGGCTCAATACAGGTGTACTTACTACATGTAGGCAATACACTCATACACATAAAATAAAAATAATAAGATATGGAAAAAAGAATGTGAGATAGAAGTCATATTGTTCTAGTAAAAATAATTATTGCCTATTTGATACCTTAAGTTGTTATGTATATTAAACATAAAGGAATTATATTTTAATTTTTTGTCCTGTTTACACGTCAATGTTTCATCATCACCAAGTGTTTTTCTGCCCATGCATCTCCTTCCATTCTTTACAATCTGGTCTAGAGAACAGGACAACCTAGTCTGGGGTACCATCTTTCACTGCTCCTAAAATCTGAAGAATGCTCACTGTGAAAACACTAAGTCAGGAAGGTGTAGCCAGAAACCTGGGAGACAGGCGGTTCTGCTCCAACCTATCACTGTGATAGTATCCCCAGGCTGTCTTTGTTCAGATCTTTTCTGAACCTCCCTCTCAGCACTTACATATGCTGTGTTAGGAGAGTTACTGTCCAAGGGCCCTTTCTTTCTCCCTTTTCCCCCCTTTCCCTTCTTTCCTCCCCTCCTCCCCTTCCCTTTTGTCCCTCTTCTTTCTCTCCCTTCCCCTCCCCTCCCCTCTCTTTCCCTTCCCCTCCCCTCCTCTATTTTCTTTGACAGGGTCTCCCTAATCCCAGCCTGCCTGGAGGTCACAATGTGGAAGTTATGAAGTGGACCAGGGTGGCCTCAATCTCGCTGAGATCCACCTGCCTCTGTCCCCTGGGAGCTGGCATGTGCCACCATGCCCAGCATTGGGGATAATATTTCTTAAATGTCAAAAATTGCAACTGGTTTCAATATTGCTTAACGTTTTCATAACCTAATCATTGCTTCTGGGCAGATCCCTGTTCTAATAACTTTTGCCAATCATAACTGCATAAATAACCAATTGCTTCATTATTCTGGTTATTAACCTTTAACAAAAATTAGTCCAAGATGGCTTATAGGAGAGGACTGGTTCACAGAGGAAGACCAGGTTAGTAAGCTTAGAGAATATACTAATTATAGGAGAGGACTGGTTCACAGAAGAAGACCAGGTCACTAAGCTTAGAGAATACACTAATTACAAGAGCTTTTTGAATACTTGATTTCTTAAACAATCACAGTAACAACAGAGCGAGAGCAGTGGTCCAATAAGTTAATAGTTTTCAAAGTCAATCTGTGTTACATCTGGTGGTTTTATATGTCTATGATTTTTTTGTAAGCAAGCTCCAAAAGACAGGAATGATTTGTGGTGGTCCCAGGAGCTTCTGCCAGTTATTATGTATATTAAAAGAATTTTTATTCTAGCTATTACCATAGGCAATAATGTTTATAGTAGATGAACATATTAGCCTGGTCACAGAATATGAATTTTCTCTGAAAAAAGCAAGCACAATTACACAGCTTATGAGTTAAATATCAGCATTTGAGATAAATTATAGGCAATTCATTTAAATACTTGTGCAGAATATTAAAAAGGTAGTCTTATCATTACCATGTTTTATGTCTTTCTTGATTTTACCACATTTCAGAATGATCTGTGCTTCCACCTTCTCTAGCACAGTAAGACTGCAATCCTCTATTTGGAGAGAGCTATCCCAAGACAATGTGGGAAAATGTCTACTTCCCTGCGTTGGGAACGATGAAGAGAAGACTTCCTCAACTAAATCTTGCACAAGTGAGAAAAAAGAATGCAACAGATAAAAAATATCAAACCTGAGAAAAGTTGTACACCAAACTCTGAGATGAATGTGCCACACAGTAGTCGAATTATCATTTAAGAATGAGCGAAATAATGAGTCATCACAACGTCTTTAAAAGAAAGAAGTCCTCACAGAATAACACATCAATATAAACTTGCATTGAGTAAGATCATATGAAAATCAAAACAACTGAATCAAGCAGTTGATGTGGCTGCAGGAAATGACCTTTTTTCACACCATAACGGCTTAACCTGAAAATGTACCATCTAGAAACATAAATATCTAAGCAGACTGCACAGGGAAGTAGATGAACAGTGAAAACTGAGGCGCGGTAGGGAAGAAGGGAGACAAGGCATATTAGCAGGCCACCAACGTCCTCATCACTGCCCCTCAGGCTGGCAGGGTCCATCCTCATCACTGCCTCTGAGCCTGGCAGGGTCGATCCTCATCACTGCCCCTCAGCCTGGCAGGGTCCATCCTCATCACTCCA